ATGTGGTATTTTTCATAAGCTAGAGCTCTACACATGTTGTAATGGATCTTAAATTCTAATAATGATTATGTTGAGTTTTATCATCTTGTTTTAGGTTATATTCTTTCATGATTTTATAGCTTGCATCTTCATAGTGGGAATGGAGATGAGTTTATGAAATGGTTTTCTTGGCATGTCTTGTGAAGGTTTTGATAGTCCATTCCTAGGAACGATGAATCACACTACACCCCTAGTTTAATGTAATTAAGTAGATGGTTCACACCAACCGTGGATGGATTATACTTAGTCTTTGATTACATGTGCATTTACCATACAAAGTAAGGGATTTGATAGGCCATTCCTAGGGGATTATACTTAGATGGTTTATACTTAGCTCTTGATTATATGAACTTCTTGGAGATAGTGTAGTTATCATGCATCTCTACATATCATGGTCATTTACATAAGTAGCTCCCCAAGTTAATTGCAAGCTAGCATGTTTATGAGGTGTGTGGTGGATTCATCTCCCTAGTCTTTTCTACTTGTATCTCACTCCTTTAATTTCCTTGCAATTTATTGTTTTATGCACTTCAATTACTAGCTTAGTGACAAACCAATCAAACAAACCCTTATTACCCCTTATCATTCTAAGAACAATTCTAGACTCTTAGGTTGCCATAGACTAGCGCAGTCCCAGTGGTTCGACTTACCCGACCAATAGCCCTATTTTACAATGATTCGTGCTATTGCGAAGGTTGATGTATAGTAGATCAACCGATCAATGACCTCTTGATTCGGCCTTGATGGAGGTCGGAGGACAAATAACGATGGTCTTGGGCTGTAAATACCCTCAATTTGGGCTTGAGCATGATGAGCCTTATATGTCCTTGGAATGTAGATATGTGTAGTGGTGACGTGTGCGCTTTTTATTAGAGGGAGTTTTTTTCCCTCCACAACAACCCAACTGCGTTTCTTCCCTTCAGTATGGGACCTCGGATTTGTGTAGGAATGAATTTTGCAATCAATGAAGCCAAGATTGCTCTGTCAATGATTCTGCAGCGCTATAGCTTCACCCTCTCCCCTACTTATATTCACTCACCAGTTCCGATTATGACAGTATGCCCACAGCTCGGAGTTCAGGTAATAATCCATCCTCTGTAGTGTGCAGTACCAGAATTGCTAGTATAATGTGGAATGGATGAATAATTCGACAGATATTGAAACTTGAATTTTGATGCATTATGAGTTTAAGGTGACTGCAAGATCCATTATGTAGATAAATGGCAGTTAGAATGTAATATCATATAACTTGATGATTTTTTGTTTTTGTTTTTCCATTATAATATGATCTTCATTGAAGTTTCTAAAGACTAGAATGTTTAGATCACAAAATATCTTTCTATTTCAATTTTAAGATGTCTCCGTGTTCTCAAACTAGCTTAACTAGATTTTGAAGAGTTGAGTTTGGCAAAAATTCTCTTGTTGAATTTTTTTTTCGAACGATATTCTCTTGTTGAATTTGCTGGCACTTGTGTTCAAAGATATAAAAATTGGATAATGCAATAGCAAAGATTTTTTTATTTTTATTTTGATAATTACCTTTTATTGCTACAGTAGGTGGTAATGATAAAATTAAATATAAAAACTAAAAGTAAGGTGAGAATGATTTTGTGTTAAAAAAAGAAAAGAAAAATGATATAGGTGGGTTTGGAAAATAACCATTAGATTTAATCTAATGTTCTATATAAAAAATGTGAATTAATTTTCTTATTCTACGAAAACAAGAGATCAAGACACACACACATTCTCTCTCTCTCTCTCTCTCTCTATATATATATATATATATAAACAGAAATCGAACAGATTTTTCCAAGCCCATAGAATAGCAAAGGAAAAGGATCAAAATTGAATTCTGTTATATACTATACTCCCTCCAATTCTTAAATGAATTAAATGTATGCCACTAGGGATTTCAGTGACGCTAATTACATACTATGACCCCTTCGAGACCAGTTCCACATATTTTACCCCTCCAAAAAAATATTGATAATAATAATAATAATAAAATAACACAGAAGCAGACAAGCGCAATTGTGTCACGCATGACCACGAACCATCCCCGCTTTTTCCTAAGTCAATGATATTGGATTGACAAGGATTTAACGAGCATGCGACGCCATGCAATATCTCAGCCGATTGTGACATTTGAACAGATCATATATATCTGTGTCTATGGGGAAAAGATTGACCTTAATGTTTTTAACATACCTTTCGCTATGACCTTCAAACATTATGTGTGAAGCTTGTAGGTTATAGATCGGATGCGATATGCTGTACTGCAGAGCAGAGGAATCAGACATATTTGACTGATGAGAGAAGTAAATGTTACTGTGCTATGGAACTTGGAGATGGCATGGCAGCACCAAGAAGCTAGGTGTTGATGCAGAAGAGAGGAGATGAGGTGGTGACCGATGTAGTAGTAAGTAGGTTGTTACAAATGATACTTGTATCACATGATCGGATTCGAGAAAAGTAGACGTGTATGTATGGGTCAAATATTAGTTCCACTTAACAGTTTAAGTTTTAGTGAAGTACTCGACCCCTTATAATTGGTGTTAGAATCAGACTCAGTCATTAATCTGATACCATACTAAGCGCCCGGTTTGGATAGGTATGATGGCCCGACCGAAACAAGAGCATTGTGAATTTTCCCACCTAACCATTTAAGTTTTTAAATAAGATCGTGAAGCACCCGACCTGCCCGATACATAATTACTTTATATGTCTCACAAAAGTTTATTCTTCTTATTTTAAAGTTATAAAAATACGTAATCTCGTCACCATAAAATGGTATATTTGAAAACTCATTCTCTACTGCTATAATAAAAATATATTAAAAACTTTTTAAGAACAATAATATGTAGTCTTATTAAGTGATTATGGGTTTGATGTCGGATCAGTCAATAAACCCAACAGTTAGTCTACAAGGGCAAAGTTCTTGGACAATAATGCCGAAAAGTAGCACTGGCATCAAATTAAGTTTGTTTGTTTGTTTTTTGTTTTGTTTTTTTTTTTTTTTAGTTAGCACCAGTAACTCCCATAGGCAGGGTTCCTTCGGAACCCACCATAGACTACAAACCTGGAAGTGTAGAGTCTCGCCTCAAGAATATACCGAGTGAGTTGGAGGATATGGATGACTTGAAATGAGTCGAACACTGGCCAAGTGAGTGCAAGTGCCAAGCTCTTACCATCACAGTCAAGTCCCGAAAGCGCATCAAATTAAGTTGTCAGTCTTTATTTTATTATTATTTTTTTTTATGTAAAATGCAGCAAAAAATAATTTTAATTTTTTTGAACATCCGAACACAGCATAGCCATAACTCTCTATGCTAATCATTCCATTCTTGGTCAAACTCCCAAAAATCACTAATGATGATAATAAAAATAGGATAAATTACTTTTAGCTTGATTAACATTTTGAGTTTAAATTTAATGTATATTTGAATTGGTGGTTTAATAGTTTACTTACACTTTAAATATTAATTTTTAATGAAATCATAGTACTGGTAAAGTGTTAAATAACTATGTCACCTTTTAACCTTTATCGACTATTTTTGTTACCAAAGTACCCCCAACATGTACCTTCCTCTTCTTCCCTAGACAGAACCAGATTCGCCGACTACCACCCTCACACAAAACCCAACTCTTCAAAATTACACACATATATATCCATAAATAGATATATAAAACAGCCAAACATATAAAGATATATACATATATATATATATGTATATATATATATATCTATACACAAAATTAAATAGATATATACACACATACAAAACAGCCTAACAGAGGTCGGCCGGATCGATGATGGGGGTTTTGGTTGTGGATTGGAGGTGGCGGTGGCCAGGCGAAGTGAAATGAAATCTCCGTATAGAGATCTCTCAATTTGCGAAGAGCGTCGACGAGGTGAGGGAGTCGGCGGCGCCACTTTGACCAGGAAGAGAAGTGGTGCTGCTGGAGGAGAATCACTGAGATTTCATAGCAGCGGCGACAAACCACCTCGTACAGGCGGCTCATCGTCGTTAAGGTGGACGGCGAGATAGAGCGGTGCTTCTCTGTAGGGATTGTCGCGGCGGTCGATCACGGCGGAGATCTGGTCGGCGACTCTCTCCTGAACGAGTGAGTTCGACTCGGTGTGGATTTGAGTGGGTTCAGCGAGCCGATGGAGGGTTGAGACGATTAGATGGTAGTGTGATTGCTAAGTGCGACGGCGTAGCGGGCTAGCCTGTGCTTGTATTCCTCAAGTCTAATTGCTCAACTCACCGGTCAAAGTTATGTTCTACAATTTCAGTCTACTTCCCTTTTTTCTTTTTCTTTTTTTCATATCATGAGCACCGGAGTCGGAGAGGATGCTGGCGTTGACGGTGAGGATGTTGACGCCTCCGCCGCCCGCTTGGTCTGTGGACACCGTTGCATCTGTGGTCACGATTTGTGGACACTGCAGATCAATTCGCCGATGAGGACAATTTGTCGAACCAAACCGGAATCGATCGTTTATGGAAACGTCAGAGATTGGGTTTGATTCGGAATCGATTTTGGGTGATGGGTTAATGGTGGTGGTTGTGAGCGTGGTGGTGGGGATGGTGGCAGTGGTTTGGGATGGTGGTGGACGGGTGGTAGATCATGTCGGAATACAGGGGTGGTTGTCGGGATGGAGATGGTGGCAGTGGTTTGGGATATGTGGTGGTGGATGTAGGCGGGTATGTGGTGGTGGATGTGGAGTTAGGAGTGGTAATGATGAATGTGGTCGGAAAGCCAGAGATGGTGGCGTTGGTGTGGCGGTAGGGATAGGGTATTTTTGTCATTTAAGATTACATTTTAAAAAATTAAAGATAAAAAGATCAATTCACATATGTCAAAGCCAAAACCAAAAAAACATTAAATCAGAGTTCAAGGAAAAGTTAAAAACTAAAGTCTTTATCGACTTTAAATATGACCTAATTCAGGAGGTATTTCTGTAATTTACAAGGACTTCTCTGTTCTCGGAGTGTAAACTTGTGAGTAAATAAATATCTTATGGTGTGTGACGTCTTCCATGATCAAAGCAACCCCATATATCCAATAAACAAAAGTAAAAAGTATAGAAAGACCTTAAAAAAACTGGAGATCAACCATTTGGAGTAGAGAGTGTCAAAGGGTGAGTTTAAAGAAACATGAGTTTTGTGGGAACCTTGGTAGTCCTTCTATCAAGCTCTCTGTGTCTGTTCATCCTCTTAACACTCATCAAGTTCCTTCACAAGGTATGGTGGACTCCGATTCGCGTGCAACGCGCGTTGAGGTCACAGGGAATCAAAGGCCCTTCCTACAGATTCTTCCATGGAAACACGAAAGAAATACTCAGACTGAGGAAGGAATCCACCAGCAAACCTATGGAACTATCACATCACTTGTTTCCCAGAATCCTCCCAGACATTTACTTATGGTTCAACATATATGGTAACACCTAGTATTTTGATTTATGACTATGATCTGAATCTTCTGAATCCTAGTATTTATTTGTTTTAATTCGATCACAGGGAAGAATTATCTTAACTGGTATGGTGTAAAAGCTCGATTAGTTGTTTCGGAATCAGAATTGGCTAAAGATGTACTGAACAATAAAGATAGAGCTTATACAAAGTTCGAAGCTGAAGGGTATTTGAAAAAGCTGTTAGGAGATGGTCTCGTAACTTCTGAAGGTGAAAAATGGGTGAAAGTACGAAAACTGGCCAATCATGCTTTCCATGCAGATAGGTTGAAAGTAAGTTCTATATTTTTATCTTTTGAATACAAAATCATCCTAAAAAAATAAAAAAATTATGAAAAAAAATGCTAATGGTTTTCTACTAACTATGTGAATTTTGGTGTGTGTATGTGTGTAGAATATGATTCCGGAAATGATTGCGAGCGTGGAGATGATGCTAGAGAGGTGGAAACAGTATGAAGGAAAAGAGGTGGAGGTGTATGCAGAGTTGAGGATATTAACATCAGAAGTGATTTCCAGAACAGCTTTTGGGAGCAGCTATTTACAGGGGAAGGACATTTTTCAGATGTTGATGAGGTTGTCCGTCTTAACTGCCAGAAATACTTTCAAAATTAAGCTTCCTGGCCTCAGGTAAATTCATCCTCAGATACATTCAAGTTTTGGGCTCAGGTTAATTCAATAATTTAGGAATAAGAAACAGCAGACATGAACAAACTTTACAGGGATCCAATTTTCTGTGTGGTGTGTGTGTGTTTGTTGTTGTAAGTACTCCATTCATACATATATTAACCAAATATTTTTCCCTCTGCTAACAATTGAACTAACATACCATTTATTTCAAAAAAATCTACTCTATAAACTTGAAAAACTATTTTCATCCTTCATTACACTTGACTATATATATAAGAAAAATATATGAGCCAAAAAAAAAAAAATAAAAAAAGTACACCTCTATTTAGGGGGAGAGAGAGAAACATGGGATGGTAAACTTTTCAGTTAACACAATCAGTATTGCTCATGAAATGTGGCGCTACGCGTTCCTTCAGCACAGATATATATATATATATATATATATATATATATATATATATATATATATATTGTTTATTTTAATTTAATGATGCTTATTAAGTTGTTATCCTCATTGCTTATTCCTAATTCATTCAATGGACCTTAGAAGAATTGCCAGAAATGAGTATCCATTACACCTATGTTTATATGAATGACTGATTGATCTATTTCAACTCTCCTCAGAGTGTCTCAGACTCCTAGCTTTGAATATTTCCCTCCACTAAAAGCCAGATTAATTGATTTTCTTTCTCATCCTTCTTTTGATTTTTAATTTGACCAATTTTGCAGCAAGTTCTTCAAAACTGCTGATGATATAGAAGCAGATAAACTTGAACAGGGAATACGAGATTCCATTATAAGGATTATAAAGAAAAGAGAGGAGGGGATGACTGAAGAAGTAGACAGCTTCGGGACTGATTATCTTGGATTACTGGTGAAGGCTTATCATGATGCTGATGAAAAGAATAGGATTACAGTAGAAAATGTAATTGATGAATGCAAGACCTTTTACCTTGCTGGACAGGAAACTACAGCAACCTTGCTTGTATGGACTATTCTTCTCCTAGCAATTCACACAGATTGGCAAGAGAAAGTGAGGCAGGAGGTGCTCGAGTTATTTGGCAACCAACATCCCAATTCAGAAGGCATTGGAAGGTTGAAAATAGTACGTACCCGAGAACAGTTTCCTGTTTTCTAAGCTAAAACTCAGAAAACCGTACAAAAATCTGTCTAGTTGACAGTTTCTGAAAAGTCAGTTGAAAGAAATGTCTGTTTTCAAAGAACTGTCGTTTATAGTTCTTTGAAAGCAGTTTTCTAAGTGACAAACCAAGCAGACATCGTTGCATTTCTTGTTTGCATTGAAGAGCATTATCCAATTCAAGAATGATTTGCTAATGTGTCCTTTTCTTCTTTATGTAGATGAACATGATCATCAATGAGTCTCTAAGACTATATCCTCCAGTGATGTCAGCTGTGAGAAAAGCTAGACGCGAGGTCAAATTGGGGAAGTTTATTATCCCAGCCAATACAAGCCTGCAGATTCCGACTCTGGCTTTCCATCACGACCCTCAAATATGGGGAGAAGATGTGCTTCTTTTCAACCCAGAGAGGTTTTCTGAAGGGGTTGCGAAAGCCACCAATAACAACCCAACCGCGTTTCTTCCCTTCAGTATGGGACCTCGGAATTGTGTAGGAATGAATTTTGCCATCAATGAAGCCAAGATTGCTCTGTCGATGATTCTGCAGCGCTATAGCTTCACCCTCTCCCCGACTTATATTCACTCACCAGTTCCGATTGTGACAGTATGCCCACAGCTCGGAGTTCAGGTAATAATCCATCCTGTGTAGTGTGCAGCACCAGAATTGTTAGTATAATGTGGAATGGATGAATAATTCAACAGATATTGATACTTGAATTTTGATGCATTATGAGTTTAAGGTGACTGGAAGATCCTTTATGTAGATAAATGGCAGTCAGAATGTAATATCATATAACTTGATGATTTTTTTGTTTTTGTTTTTCCATTATAATATAAGTTTCTAAAGACTAGAATGTTTGGTTATGGTCTTACAATCTCATTAGGTATTGTCATATGGGATTATCCTGATTCCTGGATTTGCTTTGAAACAGGCAAGGGGAAGCACCAAGTCAATATATATACCAAGTCAATATATATATAAACAGATATATATATTGACTTGGTGCTTCCCCTTGACTGTTTCAAAGCAAATCCAGGAATCAGGATAATCCCATATGTATGCAGCTAACACCTAAGTTTTACATTTTTTCTTACTGTTGCTAAAGATGACCTAAGGTTTACATTTTTGCTTATTGTTGCTAAAGATGAATTACTGTCATCAATTTGATGGCATTGGTGCAACTGAAAATGGTAGATTTTCAGTTTCATTTTTGCAAAATAGAGCCTCACATAATTTTCTCGGTAATTGCTCAGTCCATGTGGAAAGGGCGACTGCATGTGTCTGGTAATGAATTAGGGAAAGCTCAAGAGGCTTGTACCACCATCAAAAGTGTTTAAAACAGTCAATCATTTTTCCTCAACAGTCTAGGAAAAGTACATTATTTTAACAGGTTAATAATTCAATAGATATACAAATCACCCAACTTCTCAAACATGTCAGAGAATTCTGCCTTATCATCCAAATTCCAAAACAATAGAAGCGTAATATCGCTTTGAAAACGGATTTGTCAGCCTCTTTTCCTATTCCGTAATGTCCAGAAAGAAGGGAAAAGAAATGTATGTTCTCAGTGTGAGATTTTACCAAGCTACTTGGAACAATACCGCCAAAACCAGTTCTGGCCCTTCACAAACACCACCTAAGAGAAGCGGATTAGTCGTGAGTGTCCTCAGATGACTCTTCTACCATCTGCATGGTCAAATCCGGAGATACCTGACTATGATACTGTTGCACAACCAGAACTGATGCTGTTGTCGGAAAATCTGGTGAAATCAACAAACTTCCCACGGGACCCAGTTCCGGGCACTCGCTCCTCCCATTTAATGCTAGTGCTAGTTCACCATCAGGATTACGACCAACCAAAAACAGATTGCAGCGACTGAACTCACGGACTACATCGATGGTTTCTGTGGCATTTCTGATAGTTCTCTCTTCATACTTGGAGTGGTGTGTTGATATTTTATCCTTGAAGTCAGCAAGGAACTCCTCATCTGCTGAACATAATTTGGTGCCAGAATTGGCATCCGTGTCAACTCTGACAATTTCCCCTGCAGCTTCAGGTTCCACTAAGAAGCGAACAACTTTTAAATAGATACCTGGATGCTCAGCCATGCGAGCCCCATAAGTGAGGGCTTCACGATCATCACAACCCCCAAAGAAGAGGACTGTGATCATATAAGAAACATTACTGGCACGTATATGAGTATTTCCACCAAGTCCACGGTCAACAAGTATTCCAACTGAACATGGTGCGTGTTCAAGAACTCTGTGGTTAACCCAGCGGAAGTCACTTCGAGTTGTCTCGAACGAGCCATCTAATCTCTGGTGCTTATGGAAAGGTAGAATTATGATTGCTGCCCTCTTCCTATCAGCAGTAGTGCAAATGTCTTCATGCATGTCAGAGAACGAAGAGATTGATGTCATTGGTCGAACAGACACCTGGCTCAATTGTCGGAAAGCTTCAAAAGCCACCACAACACAATTAGAATCTGATTTTTGGCTCTTATTCCAAAAGGGTAGCCCATTCCTTCTTGCCTTCTGTACCATCAGTAGAGCTGAAGACCTCTCAGAGAGTTCCATGAGGTGCAGTGCGTATACAGAAAGTCCTTCAGGCCTCCCAACCCCTCGTGAGGCCTCAAGGAGATTTAACGTCGATGGGATGTTTCTAGAACTATGAAAACAGGCTAAAACTCTAAGCTGAGTATTATAATTTTTTCGTTCGATTGTTCTGTGCTTGTAATCAGCTCTACGTGCCCTTTTTGCTGGCTTGTACACAGCCATCACAAGAGGGGTGGTCATGAAGGTTGTGAAGAGAGCCATCAGAACCATGATAGCGAATGTCTGATCATTCAGCACCTACAGATGCAATAAGGTAAAACACACTGGATCACTTAAAAAAATGATCATGAACTACGACTTCAAAATTAAGATTATGATCTCAAACAAATACCAGTAAGACAAGCATTACCTTTCTATCTTTACCAATGTTGAGGACAATTAGTTCCACCAAGCCTTTACTGTTCATTAGAAATCCCAATGCCAGAGCCTCGCTCAGAGGCATTTTGCAAAGAAGGGAAACTACAACAGTGCCAAATATCTTTCCGAAACAGGCTGTAAATATGATCAGAACCAGGAGACCCCATGATTGAAGACCGTGGATTGTGGCTACATTAGTCTTCAATCCACTTGAAACAAAGTACAAAGGAAGGAGGAGGCCAGATACGAGATCCTCAACTTTTTCCACAAGTGCACCCGCAAATGGCCCTTCCTTTGGGATGAGAACCCCAACCACAAATGCACCAAACATAGCATGAATTCCAATAGCATCAGTTATAAACCCGGCTGCTAGTACTGTGGCTAATGTCGCACATACGTACATCTCTCCCACTGGCTCACCTTCATGACAACGATGGGCCATCCACTTGAAAATTGGTGGGACAACGAGAATTGAACAAATGACAAAAACACAACCACAGAGGAAGACCCACAATGAGACAAGGGGAGAGAGGTTATTTCCAGATAGAGCAATGCCAAGAGCAAGTAGAATCCATGCAGCTACATCATTGACTGCTGCAGCTGACATGGCCAATCTCCCAACTTCAGTGGTTAGAAGTTTCAGCTCAGCCAATATTCGGGCTAAGACGGGGAAGGCAGTTATGGAAAGGGCTACACCCATAAATACAAGAAATGCGATCCCATTTACACCTTTTGCAATGGTTGCTCGTAGGATAAACGATGAACCAATTCCTAATGCAAAAGGAACGGTAATTCCAGCGATGGCAATAACAAGGGCCCTTTTTCCAGTCTGACGCAGGCTTTTAGGGTCTAATTCTAGACCTGTGAGGAATAAAAAGAACAGAAGACCAAGGTTTGCCAAAGTATCTAAAACTGTAATGCTTTTGGGTGGAAAAATTGCCTGCAAATAGCTCTTATTTCGGCCTAGAACAGATGGCCCAAGTAATATTCCTCCCTGCCAAATCAGCAACACAAGGTAAACTATTTAGCAACATAAAATAAATGATGGTGTCTACTGCCATCTACAGCAAGTACTATGAAATAAATAAATAATTGTAAAGTTAATGGAAATCGTGTCAGAATTCTCAAGTGATGAAAAATTCTTCCATTAGATCACCACCTAAATCAAAATTTCAATAAGTTGTTTTTCTTTCTTTTAAGGATGCCTGCGGAATTTCGAATGCAAAACACAATTGCAGGATTACAACCAACCAAGGGGCTCAACAACACACATAAAAAGCATACAAAAAGAAAAAAAAATATATATATATATATATATATATACACACACACACACACACACACAAACAGAAATCAAAAACTAGATAGACAGATTTTTCCAAGCCCATAGAATAGCAAAGGAAAAGGATCAAAATTGATGAACCTAAGGATAAATACACAAACACCAATAAAATATCAACAAAAATTAATTTTCACAGGAAAAACAAACATCTATTATCAAATAATAGAAGTGCAAAGAAGTAGAATGGCAATTAATACAGTTCAGAAATCCGAGTAAATCATTGTAGAAAATGAGGATAATTCCACCATCATCATTACAATGTAGTGATAAGGTTATGGAGTACAGCCTAAGTGCCAACACTAAGGCAGAGATAAAAACTAGTGTAAAGTAACGAAATGAAACAAGACATGCATCACAAAACATCATCATTGCTTTATGCCGTTATGATCTTTGGGATCCCATTGACCAACTAAAATGGTCCGGATTAGTTGCCAACTAGTACTAGTGATAGATTGCAATATGTTAACTTCATCTGATTAGAACTGTCATTACATTAACAACCTGAGAAAGATGGAAAGAAAGGAGAAAAAGAGAAATGATCTGTAAAAAAATGAGAATACTTGATACAGCCTCATCATTTTTTTAGCATTTTTGACAAAGAATGTTAAGAACAAAAATAAAAAATAAAGGAAGTACCACTACTCTCTTCTGTTCTTGTATTCCCTACAGAAGATGAGTTGGGAGTAAACCAAGTATACCACAACCAGCAAGTTTGGATGAGTTCTAATAATTTGAAAATTTTATCCTTTTTCCATAACATTCTCAAACGTTTTTCCACTGTCCAACTTCCAAGAAATTAGCTACAAATCAAATATTAACAATGTGAATCAAACTGATTTTTTAGTAAACACAACATACCAATGACCAATGACCAATCAAGTCCTGGTAGCTGAGTTAATGGGTCACTTGACCATTTTGACTTTAATTAGCTAAATGAAATCTAATTTCAAAAAGAAGCAAAGAACAAATGGGAAAAACATTAAACAACACAAGAATTCACATCTGATTAACAAATATCATAATACACAAAGTAAACCAAGCAATCTGTTGAATTTATAAGCATAATTGAAGAAGAAAGGAACTTACAATAATCTCTGCAATCACCCGAGGCTGCCTTAGTGGCCTCAGCAGAACAGCAAGACCTCGTGTGACTACAACCACTAGACATATCTGTAAAATGGCAAGAGGTAGTGCAAAATCAAGAGGATTATCCCCCTGAAATATCCCATTAGATGTAGGCTTCATTGGAGATGGACATGTATGTCCCACAGTACCATTGGCAGCCATTGCCTGAAAAACAACAAATTGGACTCATAAATTCCAGAAATTCAATAACAAAAGAGTAAACAATATGAGAAACACCATACAGATCAACAAACCCGATGAAAAAAAAAAAAAAAACTCACTTCAGTTTCTTAGATTCTTTTCTAATATTATTAAATGCACACCTAAGGTAAGAGTACTGAAACCACAGAGCATGTGGACACTATTCATGCAGCAAGTTGGAAAAAAGTCAAACTCACCACCTAATAAACTTGTGCCAGCAACATCTAACAAACACGTATTGGGACCATGGTGACCCACCTGATAAACTTGTGCCAGCAATATCTAACAAACGCGTATTGGGACCGTAGTTTGCAGTATCGGTCACGGTCGCGATACACCCTGACAAAGTCAGTATAAATTGGTCAATATGGATAACGTATGGGACGTTAAATAAAGTCTCATGGATTTGAAAAAGGATCCCATATCAATCTTAAAAAAGGGTCGCGTATTGGACAATAGGCAAACCATAATTGGGAGTTTGGGAGCAATACCGACATCACGTACTAAATAAAATCAACCCATATCCCATTACTTTTTCTTTTTTCTCTCTTGTCAAACAGAATTAGTACTGTTTTTGTTTTACTAGGTGATGAAGAATTGAATGAAATAGACCAATGCAGATCCATTGCATTTGATGCGACTGTACATATATTTCGATTGTACTATTGGCAAAGATAACATGCCAAAGAATTATGTATAGCACCAAAAAAATATCAATAATAATAAAATAAAATAAAAATAAAAGCCTTGTGGGTTTAGGGTTTAGCATATTTTCAAGAAAGTGGCCTCCCTTAGACAAATAATAATAATAACGAAAAAGAAAACGAAAACGAAAACGAAAAAGAAAACGAAAACGAAAACGAAAAAGAAAACGAAAACGACAACTGTACACCTCCGTGGAACAATGAGAAAAATAGGAAAACAGATATAGCGTATAAAATTGTTGATTAGATAGCTTCAAATGCAAAAATCAATTTCTTTTATTCAATAGATAAATAAATTCACTCAACCCACTTGAAAAAAGTTTGATGTTAATCAACAATTGAATATGCATACGATAATGGGCAGATACCCATCCAACAGCGTCCAACCAAAAATATTAAAAATACAGTTGACATTGAACAAGAGGCATCAAGAGGCATTTATCACAAGGACAAACCACACACATAAACAAATTCAAACACACACATGTATGATTACCTGATTATCTGAAGTCGATCGAACTCGTAGGTTCGGTTAGAAACTACTCTTCTTGATGGGTATCTAGCAATCGTCGAACAGCATCGAAACCAGAGCTGTGAGAGTGTGGAATTGTGTTTCCTTAACATCTTAATAGAACCCAAAACAACAACGTCAACGGGAAAAGGACTTTCCGTGATTGGTAGTTGATAGAGTCGTAAGAGAACAGGACTAGTCTAATTCGATTAAAATTCCTTTTTTATTTCTTTTCAAAACGCAAGTGATTAATTAGGGTATATAATGGGTGAATTTAATGTATTATGTTTTAATTCCTTATATAATTTATAGTGTCCATTTAATTATAAGAAATATTTATATATGTATGTGATAGTGATTCATACATGAATATAAATAGTAATCTTAAATTGTTCATAATCGGTAATTATGGATGTACTCATTATTAACTAAGATTTGGACTGGATCCGCATTAGGTTGAGATATATTACGAAAGCCGTCGTATGCAATTGCTCTCTATCGCTGTCAGGTCATTTGACTCTCAAGCATGAGAGAGGTATAGACTCTTTTATTAATTAATAATTACTTTGATTTGTTCGGCAGATACTTTGGGATCCTTAGACCGACACTTTGGATAGTTATTGTGACGACTCTAGATTTTTCAACCCAGTGTGTCCTGTGATGACTCGAAGCGGATCCAAAATGCGGAAGCAAAACAAAACCAAGTCCTTAGAGATGTACATCATCCCTAAGACACAAGAATGACCCTTCAAGGAATTTTGAGACTCAGCGGAAGCAAAACGAAAACAAAGGTATCAAAACCCTACTAAAAGAAGGACCAAGGGTATAGAGGAAGGAATTTGACTTCCAATAAGTCAAATGAAATCAAAAACATCCAAAAATATCATTTGGTAACTTCACATGAAGTTCCAAGGCCAAAGGAAAAGAAATCCCAAATGAACCCTATCCCGGTTCGAACCAAAATGACATCCTCTCACTAAAACAAGTATATCTTAAGCTAGAAGAAGAATCTGAATCGGAAATCGGTACCATTGGAAAGTTTACTTTGACGCGGTCAATTTAGACTTAAGAATGGACTAATTCGGAGTTAAAACGAAGAAGTTACATCAGTTCAAAGTTGGAAGACCAAAGCTGAACCTGCAAAATAGTTCTGCATGACTTGAACCGGTTCAACATGGGCAGTACGCCCATGCTGGACCAAAATGACATCTTGACCCGGTTCAACCTTCTTGAACCGGTTCAACTTGACCAGAGTTGAACTTAAACAGTAAAATTGCAGAAAAAATAGAAAAATGAGATTGGAGCACGGTTTTCGAGACCAAGATGACATTTTTTGGAAAAATGTCGTGAAGAAACTATCCCCGAAATCACATTTTCGATGTGACAGAGTCAAGACCGGAATTTATTTCCCAAAGGAAATTCCTAAAATGCCCTTAAGCCGAATTTTTCAACAAAAATGTGAAAGAGTCCATAGGAGGCTCAAAACACAAACGAAAGGGTTTTTCATGAAAACGATCATGCATGCAAACGTAAATAGTGATTTTGAGCGCGCAGGAATAGTTCGCGGCTCCCGGAAATGGTTGAGTCAAAATCCGACTCCCCCCCCCAACGGCCAAAAAGGAGAAAATTGACCTAAAATGGAAACTTTGAAGATCAAAATTAACAAATGACTTCAAATGATCGTTTGGCCCTTGGCCACACTTCATACACGATTAAAAAGACCCTATAAAAGAATGAAAATGGAATTCCCACACCCGATGCACCCATGGTGAAACAATAACTTGTGATTTTTCAATATTTTCATAATATTTCATGAAGTCAAAATTTACATTGGATACAAAATACATGTCATTGGCCTCCGGCCTCATCTTATATATGTCAAATACAATACAAAATGTGTACTTTCATTAAGTAGGCTCGGAGATGCTTCTCACTCCCTTAGTACGAACCCAGACCCAGCCTGAAAGTCAAAGCCTCTAATGTATAATTACATATATCGAATCGAAAATACACATTTTGACAATTACGACGACAAGTGGCATTTCAAGCTAACCTTTACAAGAATTAAAACCTTTAAGTCTACAACCATCCAAGCAATGATGAACACCACGCACCAAGTCTTCGTACCTGAACAAATCCCCTAGTAACTTCGGGGTGAGTAAACAAGTTTACTCGTAGAGAATGAGCATGCATAGACTCGATTTCTTTAAAGATTTTTACATTAACTTGAAACAATTCAAAAGGATCATGCCACCTAACGTCTATGTCAAAGGTGAAACTCAGAGAGCATCCTAAGCTACCTTAGATCATTTCTAGCATAATTCATAGCTCTCATGCAATTCAAACAATATAGAAGCATGTTATACAAAGCAACAAGATATAGATTCTCAAAGCCATCCACTTGAAATCTAAAATACGAAAACAACAAAGTGGGTCATGCCACCTAACGTCTATGTTCCAAATGAATCTATAGGTTAATTCCTAAGCTACATTTGAACATTTAAATCACAATTCATCATATCGATGCAATTTAACCAACATTAGAACTTCCAACACAACACATCAAGGACAAATTCTCAAAGTTAACATCTTGTAACTTAAAATGGGAAATCAAATAAGGAACAACAAGTTACAACATCATATAGTTATCAACTTGAAATGAAATGGGAAATCAAACAAGGAGGATGCTTGGAAGTCACGCCGGATCAGGCCGACACCATGGTTACTTTAGGGTTACTAGCCTATGGTTAACCTCCCTATGTGCGCATTAGACTGTAGAGGGACAATCCCCCGTACTAGAACCAAGCCCTAGCCGTAGTCAAATAACGACATCCCCAAGTTTCCAAAATCAACAAGTTATGCAACAACGTATATAAATCAACATGTATATACAAGATAATCAACTATCTACCATGCACAACTGAATATGAAAACACATACAATACATGCTTTAAGTCCACAACTACTATGACATGAAAGCTGTCAAATACAAGGTGTGCAACTCATTACACAAGGCAACAATATAATCTATAAAGAAAACATGCTCTCATGAATATAAATATAACCACAATGTTATCATATGCTCAAAACATAACCAAGTGAATATACAACAAGTCCAAGTCTACGATTTTAATATAGAAACAACTTCATGAGAGCATGTTTCTATATTCTATTTAAACAATTAGATAGATTTAATTACACAAAATAATTAAATTATCTAGATTTCAAATCAATTTCAAATAACCTCAAATTATTATATGTTAGACAACATAGCATGCTCATTACATATATCAAATCAAAAGGGCAAAATGAGCAAGACATCATCATGTTGAATTTAATTAATTTAAATTAATTAAATCTCTAATTTTCAAAAGTTGTTCAAATGATCCCAAATTAATATATACCAAGCACTAAGTCATGGTCATACCATATATCAAGTCTAAAATGGAATACAAGCAAAATACAATTTACTATAATTTAAATCAAATTAAATCAATTTAATCTCTAGATTTGAAAACTCATTTAAATGATTCCAAATAATTATAACAAAGATCAAGTCATGACCATGCCATATATCAAGTCTAAAGTTAGTTACAAGTAAGCCATTATAAATCATTAATTTCTCAAATTGATATTAAACATCCATACAACTTGTATTTCATATAAAAGCAAGTAAAATCACTTGGAAAAAATAAATTATAACACCCCCTACCTCACTAGAGAAGAGTCTCTCTAGAATCCAAGGCAAATTAATACAAAATGGCAAACCCTTCAAGGATTATGTAGAGGAAGATGAGGGGAACAAAAAGTGTTCCAAACTTCATAGTCTAAGGTCAGTGGAAGGCCCTGAAAATCAAGGTTAAAGCTTAAGGCTTTAAGCTTCTCTAATGGTGGCTAAGGTTTTCTTTACAAGAGAGGGAAGAGATAGAAATTAAGTGTGAAAGAATGTGAGTGGAGGAGTGGAGGAAATAGAAATCCTCCACTCACTATGTGGTCTTACACCAAGGTCACACACACAAGTCTTGGTCAATTGCATAAAAACCCTTCTTAACAACATAATTTCAAAGTGGCCCAAAAATAATTGCAAAAATAAATTGTGAGCTTACACTTGTCACAAATCAATTGCTCATTCTTAGACTTAATCTTAAGCCTACACTTGTCAACCATCCAAGCCAACAAGTGCACCAATTCTAAGCCAACAAGTGGGTGAATCTCCACCCTCCACATGTCATCATCCAAGGTATCAAAGTGTTTCCACACAAATGTCAACAAGTGGACCAATGAGAGCATGACACTTGTCACACTTTCTGAAAATTGCAAAAAGGTCATTTATGAAAATATCTTCCAAATTAAATTACAAAATAGTCCTCAAGATGAAAAATAATTACTTTACAGTAATTACACAAATGACCCCAAAAGAAAGAGAAATTCCAAAGAAGTGTGCATCCACACTCCTAAGGAAGAAAGTACACAACTAGTATGCTTCTCTACAAAAGTAAAAATGCATATAGCATGGAATTTAAATATCGTGGATGCATGCAAAAAAAGGAATCAAATCCGAACATGAAAAGTGAGGTTGTGCCAACAATGTGACAACCGAGAAAAAGACGAAAAGTGAATAGTGTCGAAAAGTGAAAACGCGGAAATGACTCGTCCTCAAAGGAAGTTGTCAATCAGAACAAAAGAGTCTTGGAAACCATTTCCAAGCACTCGAGACGACATTAAGTGACGAGAAATAGAACTTAGCAAAGGAAAAGACAACGGAAAAAAATTTATCCGTAAAATTTGAGGAAAAAGTAAAGGAAGGAAAATGATCGGGTCATTACAACCTTCCCACCTTAAAGGGATTTCGTCCCCGAAATCTAGCCCCAACAAAACAAAAGGCGAAACTAGGGTAACTATAGAGTACATCTCCGGGTGTCCCACGCAACAGGCTATAAAAGCAATACCAAAACTGAAAGACAATGTACAAACCAATGTCATGCGCACCCATATGTTCACGACAAGACAACCACTCAAAAGGAAAGTGATCACGCAGCCACACAACAAGTCAGAACACACACACAGAAACTAAGGTCAGACGAGGGAACGGAAGACAACAATCAAAAGTATCCCTCCTGAAGAACC